TCTTTTAAAAGTCCTTGCCTTACTTTTAAAGCAGTTTTTCAATCTGTGGGTCATGAAGTCAATTTAGTAGGTTGAAATCAGCAATTAAAAAAATATATATATATTAGAACATACCAGAGTACATTATATCTAGGAAGGAGCATTGTTTCATGACACTTTTCTTTCATTTTTTATGTTCATTGTATACATGTGTATACAATGTAAAATGTGAAAATGTGGAGCCAGCCCTGATGGCCTAGCGGTTAAAGTTGGGTGCTCACCACTTTGGCAACCTGGGCTCGTTTCCCGGTTGTGGAACCACACCACCCATCTGTCAGTTGCCATGCTGTGGCGGTGGCTCACATAGAAGAACTAGGACAGCTTACAACTAGGATATACAGCCGTGCACTGGGGCTTTGGAGAGGGGGAAAAGAAAGAGAAGAAGATTAGCAACAGATGTTAGCTCAGGGTGAATCTTTCCATGCCCCCCCTACCCCCCCAAAATATGAAAAGCTTGAAAAACAAAGCTGCTGAAGAAATTGAAACTGGAAATACTAGAGTTTGTATTAAGGGTATGATTTATTCAAGGAAGGAGAGGGAACTCAAGTTAGTGGGTCCAACTGAAAGGCAAGGCTTTGGTCCAACATCAGAAAATTGGTGAATTAATGTATATTTTTGTGCTTCACATTAAAATGAAATGTTTAAGGTATATAGGTAATGATTTTATGATATTTATTTTAAGTTGACCTTTTTGAGCAGCCAACTACAGATCTCAGTGTCATGGGATAAGAGTTTTGGCTTATTTTATTTTACTTATTTTCCTCTCATGCTTCCTTGTTTTGTCTCCCCTACCCTGCTGCTTTCTTTGCCACTTAATAGCTATGTGACCTAAGAGTCATTCTCTAGGCCTCAGTTTACTTTTTATGAAATAAGATTATCCCTCAGATCTCTTGTCATTTGGCAGTGCTTAATAGCCAAATTGATAAAGTAAATTCTTTCTTGGTATTCGCCCATCTAGATTTTTAGTAAATGAGAAACATTTCATTTAAAAAAATTTTTTAAAGCCCTAAAATCCCCATTTTGCATATATACACATATACACGTGATATACAGTGCTTAAGAATAGTGGCAATGCTAATACCCATCACTTCATCCTGAGTCTAAGAACTGTTCAGATCCTGGAATGTTGTTTTGTATTTGGGCATTAGTAAATTATTTTAGGCTGTATGTGGGAGATAGGTTTTTGGATGAGTTTTTTGTACAATTTACAGTTCTCGAGATACTGAGTATTTTTATTACTGAGCATTTGCTAAAGCAGTGTTAGTAAGTATTTTCTGTAAACAAGCTAGTAGGATGCTGAAGTAATAGTAGATTTTGAAAAAAGGATGAGGATTGAAGGGGATACTGGTGTACGATTGAGACTGCCTATGGGTGAAGCCAGGGGAGCCAATAGATGAAACATCCCACTGTGAGATGGAAGGGAGGTGCTGGGGAAGAGCCGTTGAGACAGACCTTTCCACCCCCTGGACTAAGTATACAGTCAGCCCAGGATAGTGTGTACACACGGCTGTCCATGTGGCGTGGGACCAGGTCGGAGTTTGATGATGTAGGTGGGTAGAGTACAGGCTGCCTCAGTTCACTCACACTCGAAAAGTATGTTTTAAAAAGCTAGTTTGTAATTCAGTCGTCCTTGGCGTTGATTGCGTTTCAGATGAGCCCTAGGCTAGCCCGCGAGATCGCGAGTACAACACTATTCTAACACACACAGTGTTAACCGCGAATTCTGGGTCCTGGAAGAGCATTTCTTCCCCTCTTTTAGAGAAAAGGCTCAGTTTTAGGTGTGATTTTGAAATATGTGAATTTTAACTTTGCCCTTTCAGCTCCTTTTTATACTTCCGTACATTACTATTTCCTAATCTTTTCTACCTTGTATGAACCCTGTGCCCCCACCCCATCCCACTAATCCAGGTCTTTTAAACAACATTTATTTTGTAAGAGTATTTATTGTCCACTTTCCCAGTGGAAATAACCATTACTTCACAAATCAGCTCCTAAACAAGATGTTGAAGGACAGCAGTTGAATTGGATTAGTTCATGCTGAAGTGTGAATGACAAAAGAGAACAAAAGAGTGTTCTTTTTAGGTTACATTTCAATCTGATATTTCAGATAGAGGACCAAACGAAGTGAGCATTTGAGACTTGTGGGAAAAACTGTCTGTTCCCTTCCTGTAGATCTAACTGTGCTGTGGTTGGGGGAGTACAGGGGAGAGTTGGTGGCCATCCCTCCACCCATCCATGTCTCAAGGCCTAGACAACCATCTGGTATTTAAACCTGCACTCTAGAATATGCTGAGTACCTAGATCAAGAGTGGCAGAAAGGGAGTTTTCTTGTCCTTCCCATTGTAACAAAGTCAGCTGCCTGGGTGAGGCTTCCCCTCAACCCCCATAGCTGCATCTCATCTCAGGGCTGCCCTCTTCTTTTGTCCCTCTCCTCCCTCTTCCTGGAGTGAAGGTGTTGAGTTTTGCAGTTGGGGGGTGGGGGGTGGCAGGGATAGTAGCCTATGTGAGGTGGTGAGCTATAGGCCCCCTGCTGTGCAGGGTCCTGTGGAACTCGCATGGCCTGGGGGGCTGGGGGGTGGTAGTTATTACACTACCAAGGTCCTGCCTCTGCAAGATACCTTCCAGCAAACACTCCTTAGTTGGCAGTGATTGTATGGCTTGTAGCTCCAAGGACATCCTTAGCTGATGTATAGAAGACCACAATGGCATAAGAAAGGTAGGTTAAAGGTGTTGCTGCATACAGTACAAAAAGGTAGATGGAGGTACAAAAAGGCAGATGGTGAATTGCAGAGATATTCTGTAATAAGTGCAGACAGTAAATATAAAATTTTATGAAGGCTTAAGAGAAAGGAAAGAAAGATTTACTGATAGCTATTATAGTCTAGTCACATTCATCATTGCTTCTCATCTTTTCCCACCAAGTAGAACTTGAATAGTCCAACATGTTCTACCTTTGAATTTTGTATTATGTTCTATAATATATTCTTGCTTGTTTTAATACAAAGTGTTGTGAATTATTATTAAATAGAATTGATGCTCCTGCAAGATGTACCATGTTTATCCTATATCTTGATGTCTGCCCTGGCACCACCACCTCGTGCTCCAGTCTGTGATCTAGTCTGAGAAGCATGAGCCCATTTATCCTCACAGCAACGTCATGAAAAGGATATTATCATTTTACAGATGAGAAAATTAAAGTTCAAAGAGGGAAGCAACTTAAACAAATCTCACAGGTACTGAATGGCAGTGTTAAATTTCTCCCGCAAACCCTCTCCTCAAATGCATTTTGTGATTCTTTAAAACATAGAAAAACTAGCAATTTAAATAGAGTGCAGATCTAAAAGTTAAGAAGTTTTTGGTTCTGTCCCTAGCTAAGTTATTGACTTGCAAGGAAATCTTTTTAAAGGTCCCCTATAAAAATGTTGTCTTTCATTTCTTCATATGCATGTTGAGTTTAATTTCACCCTTAATGTTGGGGAAAGGTACATGCATATGTTTAAAAATCAGACCCTTTGGTATGCCTGAAGACCACTTCTAAATAAAAGCAGGTATTAATGGGATAATACCCTTGAGAACTCTCCTCAAACCTAGTGCACTCTTCTGTGTATCAGTACACACTTGACCTTTTTTTTTTTTTTTTTTGTGAGGAGATCAGCCTTGTGCTAACATTTGCCAGTCCTCCTCTTTTTTTTTGCTGAGGAAGACTGGCCCTGGGCTAACATCCGTGCCCATCTTCCTCCACTTTATATGGGACGCCGCCACAGCATGGCTTGCCAAGTGGTGCGTCGGTGCGCGCCCGGGATCTGAACCGGCAAACCCCGGGCTGCCGCAGCGGAGCGCGCGCATTTAACTGCTTGTGCCACCGGGCCGGCCCCACACACTTGACTTTTAAACACAAAATCTTTGTCACCAATTATTGGTCTCCTCACTACCCTGAAAACAAGCCATTTTAGTCTGCTGCTTTGTTCAATTCCCTAAATAATGCCTGCCAGCTCCCTAAATAGGGTATAATAGCCAAGAGCTTAGATTTTTATGTCAGCAAAATCCAGTTTTAAATCCTGACTCCAAATTATTGGTGTGACATTGGGTAGAGCTCTCTGTGCCTCAGTTTCCTTATTTTTAAAAAGGAAGTACTAATGCTTACTTTACGGGGTTTTTATAAATCTTCTGAATTGTCTATGATGATTAGAATGGAATGTTGTCTTATTGTAATGCCTAAAAAGTTTTGGGTTGATGTTTTACCTTGTAAATTCACTTTAAATTGGCTAAACATATTGTTTAGTAAGGATTATATATATATATATATAGTCATAAATTTCATATATATAGTCATATCTATTAAGTGAAATTTACTTGAAAATACTATGTAATTCCACAATTTGCATGGGCTATTTTTTGACAATTGATATTGTGAGTAACAAACTGTCTTTCTACTTTGGGTTGATTTTGATGGGAGAAGGATGCTGCATAATATGTGGCATTCAACTAATCTGTTAATTTGGTAGGATAAAGAGATTTGTAGATAATGGATTTCCATACTCTTGCAGATAATTTTATAGATCCTGCACTGCTTCTGGATGTATACGGTAGCTGTGTTTTAAAGCAGGACTCTCCTCTGACAGTGTATGTTAATATTTGGAAAATTCCCTATCAGTAGGCTAGCACCATCTTGACAGCCCTGTGTTCTGCTTCTACCTTGCTAATTGTTTCCTTGGGATTATTTCGATTGTGTAGAAAGCTTTTTGCAAATCCTCTTATTACTGAAGTCATTGTTGCCAGCAGGAATAAGATTAAAGGTGCTTAAGTCTGTAGAGTTGTTTCTAATTTGTACGTGTCATTTCAGTGGCATTTTAACAGAACTCTGTCTCCTGTCCCTCCTTTCTCCCCCGGTACTATCTCAAGTTAGGTCCGAAAAGCCAGGCCATTGGAAGAAATCTCATTTTATCCTCCTAATTATTATGCTGGCACTCAGGAGATAATTTTTCCCTTCATGCACTGCCAATTAATATGCAAATGGACTGATAAATATTTATACAATGATTTAAATTATGCAGGGAGTGCTTTCAGTGTATTCTGTAAATGAATTGTTCATGGACTTCAAAGTGCTGGCTGCTGTGCTAACGAGGAGAGATTTGCATAAGGCCCTAATCACGCGCATACTGATTAAGCTTCATTATGGAAACTGCCAGCTGCAATCTTTGTTTCTATTTTATTACAAAAAGGGGAACTTTTCATGCTTCAGTTGCCTTGACAATGTCAGTCCTAGCTGGTAGGAGAGACTAAAACTCCTCTGAGCAACTGAAGTTTCCTTATTCATTTGAAGATTGCTATGGGGTAACTGAAGTTGTATTTTGCTTCTCCCCCTAATCCACTTTCCACCTCCCACCTTTGTTCTCTTAAGAACATAGTGTAGATTTATTAGAAGTAGTAGTACCTTCTTTCCCCCACCCCAAACCGCTACCTGTTTCTTCCTTGCTTTGGACTGTCTGAACCTCTAGAAGATTTCACAGCAATGCTGGACTGCAGTGACTATGTTCTAGGTGGGTACCAGCACAGTTGTTTCTTACAAGCTTTAATATGGAAATAGCGTGTGTGGGGTTGACTATGCATAAATGCTTAATCGCACATGCAACCAACTCAGGGAGGGGGAGAGGTGGATTGAGCAGGGAAGGAGCCAAGCATTTGCAAAGCACAAGCATACTTAAATTTGCAGTAGGGCCCTCCCTTCCGCTAGCTCTTCTGGTTCAGCGGATATTTTCAGTAAATAGCGTGGATTTAGAGTTCAACTTGAATGGAGGACATTTTTGCTTTTTGGAAATTTCTGTTGAGAGCATTTCATGTAGTTCTTAAAACACTCTAAACCTGAAACAAGGTCTAAAGTGTACCTAAATAATATGTACATATTAATAAAAATGTTTTGCATACTTAATGTGAATGTCTTACTTACATAAAAACCAAAAGTGCTTAGTGAAAAATAAGGTGGAGCCAGAGTGCAGGATTGTTTCCATAAATACTAATGCAGAGGGTAATTCAGTGGTTACTGCAATAGGACTCTTGAACAATTTCTCGATTTTAGAAACTATTAAATGTTTTCAAATTTTGGCTAATCTTAGCCTTTTTTATTTTTAAAAATCAACTTCTGTTCTTCAGAAAACAATTTTAAGTGCTGGAAAGCCTACTTTAGGGTTTTTCCTATAGAACAACAAGCCTTTTGGGGAGGGGGATGTCTGGCTTGAATATATAAACTGTCTTTGATGGCTGAAATTTAAAATAGACTAAGGCATTTTGGTTTTAGACATATGATGGCTCATGGTGGCCATGTTTTGTGTTGAGTTTGGTCTTTGTGCAAAATTGTTGAAACCCCTTTAGGTTTCTCTGGTCTCCTTGAGAGTCAGATGATATGAACTCTAGGACTTTGATATCTTATGTTTAAAATCTTTGCAAAGGATTTATTTTCCCCCTTGAAAAATTGAAGCTGCCCCATCACCTTCACAGTGGCCAATGATAAAATAAAATGACAGTTCTGAAAAGGTATGAATTCTTAGGCAGACGGCCTGGCCTAAATCCAAGGTAGTAGTAATATCTGTACAGCATGGTAAAAACCATGATTAAAAGAGGGAATGACTAAAACAGAAAACTAACATCAAGATTCGTTATATACAGTCAGCTCGATGTGCCCAGAGATGATAAACTCCAAATATCGAAAAAGAATTACTTGTATTTACTCTTTTACATTTACTAGGTTGGGAACTCAAGAAAGAAAAGGAAAATACCTTTTTGAAATATTTTTAGCATTATATTTTAGAATAAGATATTATATCTCCATTATTTTCAGTTTACAGTAAATATTATTTATTTATTGTAGTTGTACAGTTAATCAGAATTTTATTATTTTTTATATATTTATTTTTTGTGTGAAGTAATTTTGTTAAATGTCTTTGAAGCTCTTGACAATTCAATAGAAAATCCTTAAAAGATTCACGTAGAATACTTGTGACATAATCTTTAGTTTATAGTTATGGAAATTAGGACATGAATTATACAAGGTCAGGCTCATGGCTTAAGAATTATGCCTACTTCTTTGTTTTTATGTTATGTAGAAACATTGTTACTTTTTATGAATGTTAAGTGGTTCATCATTTTTCCCACTTTTAAAATTCATTCTAAAGGAAGCCTTGAACATGTATATGCTTAATGGTATATTCTATTATATTTGCTGTGATTTTTTTTGACTTTCATAAGATTTTGGTTAAGTCATTTAGAAAGCTAATTTTCACTAAGTTGTACACCTGTTCCTTTCAAACCTTAATGTTCTTACAGCTGATATTTAAATTTTTCTGGACAGTAGGGGAAGGAAGCTATAGAACTACGCTCGTTTATGACCACAGACATACGAATTTGAACCCTTTGAACATCTGAAGAGCAAACCAAAGATAGGATAGAACTGCCTAAGCCCAATAAGACAAGTATCTGTTTCAAAAACTATATTAGAAAGCTTCCAGGTTGGAAATGAAATTTATGGGAGAAAGACTTCTGATTCTTTCTCATCACTTATGAGTACAGATAATGCAACTATGGACAGCATGATTGAGACTTCTAATGATTGTTTTGATTTCCTAGTTAAATGTTTAAGCAGATGACAAAATATGCTCTTCAGTCAAAAAATCAAATATAATTTAAGTATTTATTCTCTACTAATAATTATAGTTAAATGGTTCTTAAGCTGCTGGGGGAAAAGGCAGAACTTGCTTGATATCAAGTAAACTTGTTTGATTATAAGTATACTAAGTTTGAGTTTACAGTAGAAGTAGAATAAGATATATATTAAATGTACATGTAGTTTTTATCCTTTTGAAGAGGCAGAAGAAAAGCAGAGTTGTTCTTGTCTCTTCTCTTATATATCTTCTGGGATACCTAATATTGCTTGATGAAAATTTTGTACTGTGAAAACCTTCATTAAACAGATAACCCTAAAGAGATGAACCCACATCAGCAGGTTCATTTGGGATATCAAGGGTAGTATAATTTGTAAGTGGGTGTGGTTGTGATTCAGTTTTGAAATTATTAGATACATCCGTTATGCCTTATGGTACAACTTTTTGTACTGGTTTATGATTGAAGTATGAATTTGACGTATTCTCACTTTAACACATATGTAGTGTGTTTGTAGGGGTGGGGAATAAATAATAGAGATATTTTTCTTAGACATGTTTTTTTTTTTTTCATTCTGTTAGGTTGAATTACTGTCCAGTCTATTATCAAGATTACTGATAGATTGTTTTGGTTATAATGAGCGAATACCTTTGCTTATGGAAAAAGAACTCTATTTGGGAGTAACGTGTTTTACTTTGCGTGGTGCTTCCGCCCCAGCTTTGTTTCTTTAACATATTTTATGCTTCGCAGTACAAAGTGTTTACTTTTTTTCATATCAGACCCTCTATTATAATTTTTTTCAGGTTAGAGTTTTGTTATCTTTCTTGGAGGAATCTTAAAATTCTTTAGAAAGACAGTTTATTTGTGGATCACTGCAGGGTTAAAGGAATCCTGAATTTCTTTCAGATGAACTCTTATTACAGTTTCCAATGTCTTAGCGTTGACACTGTCTCTCCTTGGGCTGAAAGATTGTGACGTTAGTCAATATTTTTAACCCTTTCCTTGCCACAATTTCGCCTCCCTAACCACGTCCCCCATTTTTAAAAAACCTTATTCACCTTTGATTTATTGCAGACTCAAGAATGAACAATCCATCAGAAACCAGTAAACCATCTATGGAGAGTGGAGATGGCAGCACAGGTAAGAGGTCATTCTCAGATCCAGCTTTTTAATTAGATCTAATAGAGCTAAAAGAAGAAACTTGCCATTTAACTGTGACTCATATTTGGCAAATAAAGACCAATTTGAGTATTAAGTTGTCAAATATAATTTAGTGCTTGCAGGAGCTGGGATCGTGTTTGCTTAAGATTAACTTCTGCTGATTGTTTCATCTTTTTGCTACTGTCTGTCAGAGAAACTACAAAGTAGTTGAGAGAATAGTCCTTTGCATCAGATAGTTCTGGGTATGAATTAGGGATTTGCCACTTACTAGCTGTATGACTTGAGGCAGTTTCCCCGATCTCTTTGAGACTTAATTTATTCACCTATAAAATGGGGATGATATATTTCATAGGTCACTGTGAGTATTAAAGGAAACGTGTTAAACACAGTGCCAGCCACACCCTAACCATTCAGTAAAAAGTTGCTCTTGTTACAGGTGTTACTCAAAATAGTAAATCTTATCCACCCCACCACATTCAGTATAAATTATATTGAAGTTATGACAGTGTCAGTAGATAGTTAAAAACACACACTTAATTCTGATATATCTTTTTATTTGGTAATTTTTAAAAAAATGTACACTTGATTAAACCCTTTATCAGGAGAAAATTAATATCATATAAATGAGAAAACTGAGGCCCCATGAGTGAAAGGTAAGTCCGTAAATGGTAGATTGTCTCCACAGCCCGTACACTTAATTCAGTACCTTGCTCAGAAGACATGTGACTGTGTCTTTATCGTCTGCCAGAGATGGCACAGGGACTTCCCCGGTTTCTGGTAAAGGCATAAATTAAAATACTTAACCATGTAAGAAAGGAATTAAGCGCAGGGATACACAGAAAGCAATAGTTTCTTAAGTAAACTAGATTTTTCACTTGTAGAGAAGGTTGCCTCTTTGACCCCCATTTTAAAAATGCCTACTATGGGTGATGGTAAGAATGAGAGTCAGTCTTGGAAACTGCCTTTGTTTTCCACCCCTGCTGCCCTTTTAATTTGAGGTAGATGAGTTGAACCAGTATAGCAGCTTCCTGCCTACGTATCTTTCACTCTAAACTGTTCTATACCTGGAGATACTTGTTAATCTTTTAATCTCTAAAGTATACCTGCCTCTTTATGTGAAACTGAGCCGTGGGGCTTCCTGTTCTGTTTAACATGTCTCTCAAATTACTCTAACTGAGGCTGGCCAGGTAGACTGTTGTGGTACCTCCTGAGAAGGGGAAGGGCAGCATTCTATTCTGTCTGAATTGTCAGCCACAATCTCCTTTCTGTTGTTTCACTGTCCCCTCTTTGGGCCCCAACTGGCATTATTTTGCTGCAGATCCATCTGCCAGTGCTTTGGCCACCTTGTGTAGGTGTGGGACTTGTTTGCAGAGAGACACAGGACAGTCGATCCCATGAAGACGCTAGGGAAGAGTGTGCAGGGCACCCGTGCCTAAAGAACGGCTTCACAGAAGAGGCATGTATTTCTAAGGGAAGAGACACAGACTCACAGAATGATTGGAAAACACTGAAAATGTCCACTGCATCGGACAGCTTGGGAATCCACCACTAAATTAGAAGTTTTAGTAGCAACCATTTATTGAGCGCCTACATTTAATAAAACCCCAGTGTCATGTTTTTAAGAATCTTAAGCACTGGTATACATTACCTGATTTTAATTTGAGTTCTTATGACAACCCTGCAAGTTAGGTATTATTATTTCAAGGAATAGGAAACTGAGACACATAACCAGCCAGGAAATAAAGGTAGAATCAGAATTTACACCCTGCATTTGGTTTCTCCCATAAACTGCAGTAAAATAAAACTGAAAATTTAAGCAATGCTTTGTATATCTTCAGGTCTAAAACCATTTACGGAGCTATATAAGATCAATTCTAGCTGCAGCACTTGCTGAAACAGTCTTATGAATTTCTTGCCCTGTTTTAATGTGGAATGCGTGGCAAACTTATTCCCACCATAGTATCATGCTGAGCAGTATCAATTTAGATATTGTACTGTTTAGTGTCTTTAAAATTCTGATTTTGTGGCTAAGAACTGGTGCTTTTCTTAGATTTCTTTACTTCCATCACCAGCAGTACAAGTTGATTTTCTCTTTTCCCTACAAATAGAGAAAATTTTTATTGCTTTTTCACAAGAGTTACTGCTAATGTAGTAATGCATAGAAGCTGGATCAGATACGCAATGATCAGCCATCCTGACTCTGGAGTGTGGCAGCTCACTTCCTGTGTGTCGACTGCAACATCTGTTGCCTCTGTAGCATTTCCAGTGACTTCCATGTCATGGACCTTTACATTCACTTGAGGATCACTGAAACCTTGAATGTCAATTTCTTAAATGTTAAGGGTCTGTGACTATGTTCTTAGCACCTCCCACTGATGTCAGTTTGTTAGCCTAGGAATATAAAAATATATTGAGTTCCACTTTGCATATTAAATTACTATGTTCAATACATTAGGTATAAAATTACAGTTTATACAGATAATTACATGCTTACAAAGTGATTTTTATTTAAAAATATAACAAACCTGAAGATTGTTTAATTGTAAAATAAATATATAGGTTCTTAGTTTTTGCTGGTTTACGAATAACAAGTAAAATTTTCAGTGGAAAGAACCCTTAGCATTATAATAAATAAAACTGAAGTCTCACATCTCGCATTTTCTGGATTTGGAATACTTTTGTGTAGATTACTACAATTTTAAACATTTCAGGAAAAAATCTGTGACATTTTAAGAAGAATGATATTATAAAATTATTTAAGATTGTGTTGATATGTTACTTCTTTGCCTTTGTCCTGCCAGAGCAATTTATTTAAGTTGAGCAGCTAAATCTGACAATGCACTTTTGTCAATCCTTGTATGTTCACAGAAAATCGATAGTTTAGGTTTGTTAATTCATTTATTCAATAAGTGCCTGTTGGGGCCGGCCCGGTGGCGCAGCAGTTAAGTGTGCGCACTCTGCTGTGGCAGCCCAGGGTTCGCAGGTTCGGATCCCGGGCGCACACCAACGCACTGCTTGTCAAGCCATGCTGTGGCGGCGTCCCATATAAAGTAGAGGAAGATGGGCACAGATGTTAGCCCAGGGCCAGTCTTCCTCAGCAAAAAGAGGAAGATGGGCATCGGATGTTAGCTCAGGGGTAGTCCTTCTCACCAAAAAAATAAAAATAAGTGCCTGTCCTATATGTAAAATATTGTACTTGGTGTTATTAAGATTCCAGTGCAAGCAGGTGAGATACTCTCAGTCTTTGAGAAATTAAAGCAGTCCATTAAGTGATAAGACCGATACACAGATAACAGGTTCAGGATAGATTGTGGTAATTCAAGAGAAGGTATAGAAAAGTGCCATAGTGATATTTCTTTGAGGAAATTTGAATGTTTATAGGCCAGGTGGAAGGAACCGCCAGAGAGAGAGATTGAAGAAAGAAAAAGAATTGATGGAACCAAGGTAGGGGAGAAGGGCTAGGGTCAGAAGTACAGAATGGAGGGTTAACTTTGAAAATGGAAAAAGATATACCCCTTTTTCTAAAATTGAAGAGAAGAAGGTTAAACAATGATAGAAAATTGAGGTGGAAAGGAGAAGGAAAATAAGGAATAATTCACATTAGATTGCTTCATTTTTCTCATTTCTCATTTAAGTTGTTGAGGTGGTCATCTGAGAGGAAGGCAGGTGTAATAGTAATAATAATGGCAGCAGTTCCCATTTGTTGAACTCTTCTTACAATATACGCATGGCTAGCCGCTTTGTTATATGCTTTATGTCGTAATTGTGGAAATACTTCTGTAAGGTAAGTAGTGTTATGTCTGTTTTACAGATAAGGGGACTGAATTCATAATTGTTTAGTAATTTGTGATGGCAAAGACTGTGAGCTTTTCATTACCTTTCGTTATCTCACACTGCCTGAAAGATGAGTGAAGTGGATTTGGGGGTTTGAGTAGAGTGAATGAGTTTTGACATAGTTACCTTTAAGGAATTTATTAAAATAAATAAAAAGGATTAATAAGCTTTTCGAGAGTCAGACTCAGATTAAAGAAAACAAATTTGTAGCTTATCTAGCCAATGAGGTTATATGAGCTTTCCGTAGCCTAGCTCAAGTGCGAGATCAGGAGTGAGGAAAATGGAAGATGAGATGATTTTGCCAAAATAATATCTTCTCAACAAAATATCCATCTAGATAAGAGGGAGTAGTAATGATATTTCTTGTAACATAGTTTTTTGCACAAGGATGCTGTGGAGGATGCTTCTCTCAGGGGAAGCAGTACCTCTCCATTTCTTCCTCCTTCCAGCCCTTGGAAACCTCTAATCTATTTTCTGTCTCTATGAATTTGCCTATTCTAGATACTTTATGTAAGTGGAATCATACCATATTTGTCCTTTGTGTCTGACTTGTTTTACTTAGTATATTTTCAGGGTTCATCTGTGTTATGTATAGCTGAATAATATTCCATTTATGAATATGCCACATTTTGTTTATCCAATCATCTGTTGATGGACGCTTGGGTTGTTTCCACCTTTTAGCTGTTGTGAATAATACTGCAGTGAACATTGGTGCATAAGATCTTAGAGTCCCTGTTTTCACTTCTTTAGGGTATATAACTAGTAGTGAATTGCTGGATAAAACAACACAAATTTATTATCTTACAGTTCCAGTGGTGAGAAGTCCTAAAATTAGAGTGTTGGAAGGGCTGCATCCCTTCTGGAGGCTCTATGGAGAATCCATTTCCTTCCCTTTTCTAGCTTCTATAGGCCACCGCATTTCTTGGTTTATGGCTTCTTCTTCCATCTTCAAAGCCAGAAGTATAGTGTCCTCAAATCTGTCTGTCTGTCTCTCTCTCTGACCTCTGCTTCCATCATCTGACTCTCCTGCCTTCCTATGTCTCTTATAAGGACCATTGTGATTACACTGGGTCCACTCAGATAATTGAGGGTAACCTCCCCATCTTAAGACCCTTAAAACTTAATCAGATCTACAAAATCCATTT